ATATTTTATAATGTGTCTTTCTATGTTGTAATGTTACACTGTTGTGTCATGTGAGGGTGAAAGTTGGCGCCTGTTAAAACGTTTAAGCCCGCTGCATTTGTTTGCACCTGTTCTAAGTCAGGAACCTGTTGTTCAGTGGTTATCGTTTGTTGGTGTGGTTCATAAGTGTTTCTCGTTTTATATAGATATGACCGTTGGTTTTCCTGTTTGAATTGTTTTACATTTTTCCAGGCCCTTTATAGGTTGCTGTTTGGTGTGAGCCAAGGCTCCGTGTGACTTGGATGAAAAGTTGTCTCATTGGCATTCAAGTCACATCTTCTTATTTCTAGCAGTTAATTATAACGAATACTAAGGGTAGATGGGTAGTGCACAACTTCAAGACATCTACAAATTTACACTACCCAAGTACACGGTGGCGTGTAATGAGAAGAAAGTATCAACTAGCAAATACCCCGGCACATGGAATTCCCTTAATGACAAATACACCGGTAGAGAAAAAAAAATCTCAATATATAAAAAAAATGTGAAAAATACCATTTCTCTCATGCAATCAAAATACAGCATAATTAAATGAGATAGAATTACATATGAAATTATACCTTTAAAAAAATATATTGTATTCAATGATTTAACGAAATAAATAACATTTAGGTCATTTACATATATGTTATACATTGGTCTTATGCAAGCAGGAAATTCAATATGAAGATAAGCTGACCAATTTAGTTTTCACTTTATAAAAAAACGGTTGATTACAATTGATAAGAACTTCTATGAAATAATCATGACAATCTTGAAAACAAAAATTCCCAATTTGTCCCCAAAAGTAAAGTGTTAACAATGTTGGTGGAAAACTGTTGGAGGTTCCAATGACACAGTCTATGTACCCTCTATTACTTCAAGTCACATATATGACTAAGTTCTACAAAAAGAAAACATGAGAGCGGAATCAAATATGCTGAAAAATCATTGTGCACAGTATGAATATGTTAAAGGAAAACTTCTTGAATTATAGATGGCACAAACTTCTTTGTAGATGCTAATTATATATGGGTTTTCGACACAATGAAGGGAGGCGAGTAAAAGAAGGAGTAAGATCGAGGTCCAAATCAATAACAAGACAATAATTAGGATGAATGCATATACTATTTCCTTTTCACCGAATGTTAAGGAAGAAAAGATTTTCAGTAGATGCAGATGATACACGAATCTGCAATTTAATCAGATATTTTGAATTCAAGTGGAAACTATTTTAGAACTTCAATAGAATGTGCTGATTCAACAAATTTACATGAGAAATTTCAGGCGATTTTGCTAGGAATATTTCATAAAAATGAACTCAATTCCCTCCATTCTTCACATAAAACAAGAAAGCACGCACACATTATCTACTGTTCATTTGACATTTTTTGTATTTATGTGTGTTATCTTTAATCATACAAGTTTGAACAACCTTACCATATCTGTACACGACATTGAATGTTAGTCAAAGGGCGTGTTTTATTGGTCTCTTCCGTACATCTCCAGAATTTCATCTGGTAAAGGGTCCAAAAAAAATGAATCTGGACTTCTTCTGGTGATATTCTGTAGAAGAAGCAATGAAACAAGAATTCAATTTGCCGTAGAATATATCAGAATTTTTTAATGTTGGATGACATAAATGAAGTTTATGATGATTTATTAGAAAATTTAGTTTTGTCGGTTCATTCAGTAGACATAACTGTAAATCCTGTAATAGTGTACTCTGTTTTGACATTGATGTAATTATGTAATAAGTGTAAAAATAAAGAAAATTCGTTGGAAGAAATCGCTGTGTTCCTGAAAGGCCAAGTGAGCTTTTATCATCACTAAGCGTCCTTCGTCGTCGTCCGTCGTCGTCGTCGTTAACTTTTACAAAAATCTTCTCCTCTGAAACTACTGGCCCAAATTTTACTAAATTTAGCCACAATCATCATTGGGGTATTCACTTTAAAAAATGTGTCCGATGACCCCGCCTGCCAACCAAGATGGCTGACATGGCTAAAAATAGAACATAGAGGTAAAATACAAGTTTTGTCTATTATTTTGAAAACCGTTATAAATAGAGAAAATATGACAGAGGCAAAAATGTTCAGGATGATGAGCTCTACCAGTTGTTCTGACATTATACGTCAAAACCATCAGACGACTTCTTATAGGAGTTATTTCCCTTAAATGGCATATTTTACCATTTTTGTTCATTTTTGCCTATTATCTTGAAAACTATAATAGATAGAGAGAAACTTTAAAATGCAAAAATTATCAGCATGACAAGTTCTACAAGTAAGTCTGATGGTCGAAATCGTCAGTCAATTTTTTATTAGAGTTATAGCCCTTTGATGACGATTTTTACCATTTTTTTGCCCTTTTTTGCCTAATATTTAAAAAAAATTATAATAGATCATATATAGACACTTAAATCACAAAAATGATCAACAAGGCAAGTTCTACTAACAAGTCAAATTTTGCGGATATAGTTAGTAGACTGTCACTCTTTGTAGGAGTGCTTGTCCTTAAGTTAGGATTTTTTTTTACTCTCTTTTGTGTTTTGAGCAAAAATTAAAAAAAGAAAGGGACACTTAACAGACTGAATGATCAGCAACACAAGATCAACACAACAGATTTTTGTCATGAATTCTGTTCTCGTCCACAATGTTGGAGAGTGTCCTTTGTTGAATATGCCAATAGACCAAGGTGAGCGACATAGGCTCTTTAGAGCCTCTAGTTTTTATATTATAAACCTGACTTTTAAAGTCGTGTTTTCCTGAATATGCATGCAACATTTGTAACTGGACGTTAAAAATATGCAACCAACAATCAACAATCAATCAATTAAAACTCGTGTTAAATAAGGGTAAAATCATTTGATATTTTTTTTTTGGGGGGGGGGGGGGGGGGGGGGGGTAATTTGGTGGCCTGGTAAGAGCTGAAAAAATAGGCATGCTTAGCTACAGATTAAAATGAATAACAAATCCACAAAAAATCCTCTTGCCCCCTCCCCCTTTCCAGAATATCAAATAGTCGTCCCCTTACTGTTATTGTCCGTGTAGTTCTTATATCTATCCAGCTTATCGTTCATACAGGGATGTTCTACTAAGTCTTCCATATCATAAAAACGTTTATTAATAACAAATCCACAAAAAATTCTCTTGCCCCCTCCCCCTTTCCAGAATATCAAATAGTCGTCCCCTTACTGTTATTGTCCGTGTAGTTCTTATATCTATCCAGCTTATCGTTCATACAGGGATGTTCTACTAAGTCTTCCATATCATAAAAACGTTTATTACTCAGCTTACATTTTATTATATCTGCATTCATAAATTTATTAGTGTCATTTAGACTAAACGACGACATGTTTGTTATGTGCCTCTGCCGTCTAAACTACCCATTTAAAAGGAAGAGGTAGAAGAGAGACAGAAGATCTTCCCAATGCAAAAAAAAAAAAAAAAAAAACAGAAATGGACCTCTTCTGGTTCACCACCATAGAACAAAAAACTCGCCCAAAGTATTGATAATCTGAGAGTCGCCAACACGGAATAAACATTAGGACATTGTGGAAAATGTGAAGGTTACATTTATTAGAATGTTCTTAATGCATATATACAATTTATTTCCATGTTATATCAACTTTAAAAAACGCGTTTAAGCTACGGCATAAAATTTTATTGCAAGATATATAAAGAAGAAGAAGAAGAGTAGTATTTTTTTTTTTACGCGGGAACATTTTATATTATGTCAATAATAAAAAAAATCCATTTAAAATAGAAAACAAAAAAAATCATCCATTCTGCCGTTTCAGCTTGTTATTAACGAGGCACCAATTAAAAGAAAGGTGAAATTACCACCAAGGAAAATCAAAAAACTATAAGTTGACGAAAACAGACGACACTATTGCAAACAAAAACCAGACAAACATAAGGTCATAAAAATAAACATTTAGCAAACCGTATTCTATCAATAACAGGCTATTAAATACCCCGAAGGATGAACAATTCCTGTTCCAAGTGTGACACACACGTTGGTGAATTATAACCGATTATAAGGCATCACACAATGGTTTGCTTACTAAAATAAGTCTATGTCTATGTCTACTCCATATCAATTTCTGCTGTGATGTTGCTATATTGGAATACAACGTTCAAAAAATAAAAGACTCGCCTTTTAACTTTCATTGGATAAATTTTATGTTAGGTGTAAACAAGACTTTCAATTTTCAAAACTACACAAGTAGTATACAACAATGACACAGCATAATACCATGACTGGTATTCGGACGGTTTCAGATACAACAAATACATAATAGACTTTGCCATTTGTATTGATAGATTTGACGAAGGTAGTCGACACATGCTAAACCTATGCGTTTCTAATTCAGTGAGTTATGGTATGGGATATTCAGTCCATGCAGCCAATTTCAATTATTAAAAAATGGTTATATTATTTCTGAAAATATTTCATTTGATGATCTTATTACCGTCTAGATGAACTCCGACTGAAGCCGTATTTCGACTGTTCCTGTTGACTATAGAATGTACGGATGTATTTCGAAAACAGTCGCGATTCCGAAAGCCTTCAAACGTCACCAATACGCATGAGTAAACAGAAATGTAAAGACAAAACTAAGTAATGTTTATAAGAAAATAAATTAAAGACACCCCTTGAATCTTTTAAAAATAATAAAATAGGAAACAGTTTAAATATGAATCGAAATAATTGAAAAAATAAGAAAAGGATATATTTGTAGTGTTTCAATTTAATTTCCATCCTGCAAATGACGTTTTCGCACGATATGCATTATTGCTAATAATTGAGGCGGAGGCCTGGTGAGACGAACGGATGTACACGCTATCACCTTGGTTCAAAAAAACGACTATAGTTCCCGAATCGGAGTCATAGTCCAGTACATCATCCGTTTCGCCTAATGTGCTGCAGAATACTGAATTATTAACCAGGACGTCAAGCCATGTCTGTCCTCGACTTGCCGTATATATCGTCCATACAAAGACATACACACCTTGAATCGGAGCATTGAAGGTTCCCGTGTAATGGTTGTACCCTCTTCCAATATTAGTTTTAGCAATGTCAAAAACCAGTTGGTAATGGATGCTTGGGGCTGGGATACTTGATGACATGTAGGCATAGAAAGCTACCATTTGAGGTTCACTAGCTGGCATTGAACGTATAGTTTGCCAATCTGCAAAATCAAAAGAGTGAGTTTTTCAAAAGTTTTTCGAAAGAACATTAACATATCAATAAATAAAAAACCGGGGTCTTACTTATATGCAAGTAATTCTTTTATCATAGCTGTACGAAATACCTTTCATACTTCAAACACAGATGAGTAGTTCTACAACTATAAAGATACATGAGTGAAGATATAACACATATTTATGAACCTAGCTTACAACAAAACAGATACAAAACAAAAACAAAAAATCAAATAAACATATAACTCAGACAGATGTTGGTTTATTTTCTTTCTTGTTTTATACCTCAGTCATGCAAAGTGTTTTCAAAGAGGACGATACCAATTTGAAAAGTATACGAACGGCGGACACCAATTGATTAAAAAAGTCCGCGTAAATGAATAAGCTTAAATGTACATATTCAATTTCGAGTGATATGCAATTCAAAGCCAATGCTGATAACGATTCTTCTTAATATTAGAAATGCAAAGAAAAATGTTATTTAAGTTTTGTTGACCGAGAAAATACGAATTCCAGAGTACAGATGGATAGTTACGAAATTTGTTGCCGATTTTGTTCCATTATATTTCAGTGAATAATATATAAACTTGATTTGATTAAAAGAAACTTGGGTATAACAGTTAAAAATAATTAATACGAAGTCGAAAAGAGACCATAAAATAATTGCTAAAAACGAAAAACCACGAAATTTAAAGACAAACAACTGTAATCACTACTTCATGAATTTAAAGATTGAGTAACACAAAATACACCGAATACCTCGGGTTGATATCAGATGATATGTGTCGCCCGTCGTGTTGCTCATATTAGGTTGTCAAGTTTCATAATGATTGTGCAATAGTAAAATTTGAAAAAAAAACGTAAATGAAGATAACACTGTATTTTTTATAAATCATGTCAGAGCTAAAGTACCGACCTCAGAGCAAATGATAGCCCTGGGGACTTCCAGCCAACCAGCAGTGGTGTCGGCCAAGTGCTTGTAAATGGAAATACCACTATATAAAAAGTTTTATATTGTCGGTGGCTTGTCTCATTGAAGAATAACCAACATACTGTGGTAATATTACAATGAATAAGGAAACCAAATATGATATACTTACTTGTATGACTTGCTGGCAACATAGGTTCCACGTTTGTCATTTGCCCATTGCCCCCATCCGGATTATTATCCACAATACTGACTTTGACTGTTTTGTTTGTTTGATTAGATTTTCTGTCAGGCAATTCGTATGGTTTTCTTTTGGCCTTTCCAATCGAAATCAGTCTATACAGTTTCTGAATGTCTTGTCTAAGTAATTTGTTTTCGTTTTTGAGAGACATGTTTTCCTCCTGAATAGATTTAAGAAGCGTACGGATTTCATGTAGTTCTTTTTCTACATCTATCCCACAAGAAAAATGAACGAAATTAATTGATATTATACAGATAAAAATTATGGTCTGAAAACATTTACATAACAACATTATAAGACGTTCACATACAATGGTTGAAAGATAAGAAAACTAATTTGGTCAAAACTTTTATTTGTCGATACGAATTAGTTCAGACTTTATCTTGTATTATACAAGCAATGTGCGTAATTTGTTCTTACTATAAATAAGAAGATGTGGTATGGGTGCCAATGAGACAACTCTCCATCCAAGTCACAATGTATGAAAAGTTAACAATTATAGGTCAAAGTACGGCCTTCAACACAGAGCCTTAGCCCACACCGAACAGCAAGCTATAAAGAGCCTCAGAATGACTAGTATGAAACAATTCGAACAAGAAAACCAACGGTCTAATCAATATGAAAAACGAAAAAAAAAAAAAAAACACTTATGAACCACACCAACGAAAGACAACCACTGAACAGCATATATAGTTCAAATGTGTAAGAATAAATCTGGTGAATAAAATAAAACCAGACAACACTGGCAATTGTAAGACCTAAAAGAAAGAAAAAAAAACAAAAAAAAACCTTTAACGCTACAAAAAATGAATAAAACTCACCAATTGTTTGGATACATACATTTCATGATCCATACAAAATTTAAATTAAATCAGATAATGTAAGAGTTCGATATATTAGAGGTTTATTGCGATATTATATGATGTTTATCTGACATGGGGTAAATTTGAATGGTATCAGCATGGTTCAAGCACCACAACAAGAAGCTTAGAACATTATGTTCATGCCAAAGTCACTACAGTTATCAGGAAATGATGTTTTCTGCATAGTTTTATTATTTTTTCTTTAATTTTATAAAATTTCTATGTTCTAATATTAATAGTTTCTCACCTGAAAGCTGTAATTTGAAACCAATTATCAAATTTTGTGTAAAATATAAAAATATGAAAATGAGGATATGTGGTATTATTGCCAATGAGACAACTATCTATCAAAGACCAAATGAAGTGGACCTCAGCAATTATAAACATTCAGAAAAAGCCATACCGTATTGTCGGCTATAAAAGGCCCCGACATCAATTAAGTAAAGTTTTAGGTAATTTCTGACCGGACGTTGCTGCGTATTTGTACATCCCGCTTAACCAAACTGACGCCCCACTTTGGCAAGTGTTTTACTGTTGGTGGGGAGAAGACCTAAGTGGCTATCCATTCCCCAGTCACCCTTAAAATTAGATACCCTAATAATGATTGAGGCCAAGTTTGGTTTAATTTGGCCCAGTAGTTAAATTGAAAGCAGGTGATCCCATTGTAGTCTTACAATAGTTACTGCATGAAGACCCCTTATCATTATTTAAATTAGTTTTCAAGTTGTGACCATTTGATTTTTTTTTTTACAATTTTCCCTTAGGCTTCTATAGTTAACCCCTATGTTCTATTTTTAGCCATGGTGGCCATTTCGATTGGATGACAGGATCATCGGATACATTTTTCAAACAAGATACCCTATTGAAAATTTTGGCTAAGATTAATTCTATTTGTCCCAGTAGATTAAGTAGAGAAGATTTTTATAAAAGATTACAAAAATTTACGAAACATTGACTATAAAGGGCAATAACTCCTTATGGGATCAATTGACAATTTTGGTCATTTGACCTATTTGTAGATTGTACTTTGCTGAACATTATTGCTGTTTACAGTTTATCTCTATCTATAATAATATTAAAGATAATAACCAAAAACTGCAAAATCTCTCAAAATTACCAATTCAGGGACAGCAACCCAACAACGGGTTGTCTGATGCGTCTGAAGATTTCAGGGCAGATAGATTTTGACCTGATGAACATTTTAATCCAGTTAGATTTGATCTAAATGCTTTAGTTTCGGAGATATAAGCCAAAAAAATGCATTTTACCCCAATGTTCTATTTTTAGCCATGGCGGCCATCTTGGTTGATGGCCGGGGTCATCGGATATATTTTTTCAACAAGATACCCTAAGAATGATTTAGGCAAAGTTTGGTTTAATTTGGCTTAGTAGTTTCAGAGGATTAGATTTTTGTAAAAGTTAACGGACGACGACGACGGACGACGGACGACGGACGCCAAGTGATGAGAAAAGCTCACTTGGCCCTGTTGGGCCAGGTGAGCTAAAAAGTATTGTCATTTGAAAAAAATAGATATTTGTATATTTGTATATAAACAAACTATCCGCAATCGATTGTCTCGATTGATAAAAGTTAGTCACGATATATCCTTTTTTCAAGTCAATTTAAATATTATTCTAAAAAACTGATTTTGAAATTCAAATGAAGAAAAGATGCTTCTGAAACTTTCCTTGCCAACAAAGGTCTCGATGTCATCAACTCGGGCAATATCTTTCATCCTAAATCAATTCAGTCGAAAAAAACCTCCCTTTTTTAAATATCATTTCATCTCCTATACCTGTATACCTGTAACAAACCAATTGCAACTAAAATTTTCAATTACAAACACGTGTTGTAGAATCTCAATATTGACGACTTCAAGTATAAACCTCCAGATTACCTATGTGCTAGTTCCCCATTCATATATAATCCAGCTGGTCACACTTATACTGGTTACCTAAACATTACCAATAACACTAGTCTTCTCTGCTAAATGTGTTATCCAAAAAGCCCGAAATATCGTGAGCCTTAATCTATCAATTGGAAACCCAACTTCAAAATACAAATGGAGTCAGTCGAGGATTATGCCTGGCAATGGGCTAAACGCAAAATAAAAAAGAGGAAGAAGACGCAGATACTCTTTCTGAATGGGTTAATGCTGTGAGGTCGTTGGTACAAAATAGAATAAAAAAAACTGAATGAGTCTATGAATAGACATGCTACTTTGAACTTTAAAGACCAAAATGTTTCTAAGCAGCTGGCTGTCCGAACTCCATGACAAATAAGTGCTCTACGAAACCTCTGTTTAAACTATTAACATCAATTTATCAACAATCAAAGTCGGGCTTTAATGTTATTGTGAAACTACCTATTCTAACGGCGGTGTGGATACTAAAAAATTCCAAAGATTTGTTAGAGTATATACAATATAAGTCTCTTTCCTCTTTCAATATAAAAAAAAACATTTGAATTTTCTATCCTTTTCTATTCTCTCCATTCCAAACTAAAAGACAAATTGACAGAATTGGTCCGGCTTTGTTTCATAAAAACAATGGACAACGGAGATACAAGTATCTTGCAATAGGGAGGGATTCATCGTACTTTGAAAAAAATCACTCTTATTTGCGGGGTGAAAAAATAAGCATGCGTAGCCACAGATGAAAATGAATTGTCAATCCGAAAAATACGAATGAGACCTCATACCAACGACACAAACAGCCGAAGGACACCCAGAGGTCAACAAAAATCCTAAACGATAGACACTTGTCTATAGCATGAATATTGGGTTGAATTTGAAAAGCAGCAAACTTTCACGATATATTAACTGCACACATATCGATATCAAACCGTTTTGTTTTTGACAGATGAAACCACGGGATAATTTTGAACTACAAATGAAAGGAATTCAAAGGTTCCGAGTTTAAACTTCAGAGTGAAAACAAGCAGACAGAAACGAGATTTCGAAATCTGTTTGACAATAAGATAAAGATAAATAAAAAAGCTAGTAAAATTAAATTTTAGCAAGCTTCTTTCAGATATATTCATCATTTACATATCCCATCCCGAATTATTAGTTACTGTTATATACAATTTTAAAAAGAACTGTTCTTACTTATCCTGTATCTTAGTGTGACATAATTTATACGTGAAGGTTCATCATAAAATATTGACAAATATTGCCATTTTTACACGACAAAATTTACCATGAGTACAGAGACCTGTGCACCTGACAGGTTTTAGGGCATGGCAGTACCTATATAATTAAAATTACATGCATTTTATGTTTTTGAAACATAAGCTGTCCTGGATTTTGATGTGTTTTATGTAATGTTTTGTGGCCTATTGATTGTGATTTTGTGCCATGTGCCATTGTCTCTCGACTTATGAGTTTTGAATGTCCTCTAGGTATCTTCCGCCTCTTATTCTCCCTCACAGAAATATATAAGGGAAACAATAATAAATGCCTTTTCAAATTTGATAGGTTAATCGGGACTCAATTTACCTAGTATATTCAATGATACTTGTAACGCCATACTTTGTATACTAGTATATACTGATATACTGATTTACCTATTCTTATTTCTTAACAAGCCTAGCTTTAAAAATTATTGTTAGTTACGTTTCTATTTATACCTCCAACGTTGATATTGAAAACAACCCTGCTAATTCCTTAGACTCAAAATTCGAGGTTTACAATTACAAAAAAGAGATTATTAATTATTATGCTATAAAAGGGACCAAAATAGAGTCAATCTGAGGGAAAGAATATAGTTACGCCATCAGCAATTCCCTTTCTTTTTACTCCAAATCATCGTTAGCTGATAAAAATTACTGGATTAAAAATCTTTTTTACAAGATCGTTCTACTGAAACAAAATCAGGACTGAAAAACAGGGTAAATACTCATCAGAAGCTTTGTTTGCACCATCAAATTAGCCAATTATTTGACGTAAGTACTCTATCGAATCAAAGCGCGAAAGCGCTGTAAAGGCAGTTAATTACAGGTTGTGTGTATTTTTAGTCCAGTTATATCATTATCTTGCATAGTACAGTGTACTTATCAGAGGTGGCTTTCAGTATTTAAGATTTAAAGTTCTCTAATGATATTGAACAAGTTTTACGAATGTCATATTCTGAGCACTATATGAAGGCGTTTTTTTTCTCACTTGTTTATGAACTTGTGCATTATGTCCAGTTTGTACCTTTTTTATCTATGTTTATAGTCAAATTAGTTATCAAAGGTACCAGGATTATAATTTAATACGCCAGACGCGCGTTTCGTCTACATAAGACTCATCAGTGACGCTCAGATCAAAATAGTTATAAAGCCAAACAAGTACAAAGTTGAAGAGCATTGAGGACCCGAAATTCCAAAAAATTGTGCCAAATACGGCTAAGGTAATCTATTCCTTGGATAAGAAAATCCTTAGTTTTTCGAAAAATTCAAAGTTTTGTAACAGGAAGTTTATAAAAATGACCATATAATTGATATTCAAATACTGTTTAATATAGTTAGGCATTTTCTTTTTAGTAATAAGTAAATGTTATCAACTGTATTTTATTCAACTCTGCAAATGTGGTTTGTTACTGGTAAGTATGGATGATAGTTGTTTCATTGGCAATCATAACACATCTCCTTATTTATATAATGATCTATATTCAACGACCTCAGGTACAAAAAAAATGTATGTAACTAAACTGTGATGGGAAACCTTTGACTTCTTTCTTTTATATAAACTTTTGATTTGGTACCATAGAACTATGTAGAATAAATGTACATTGCAACATGTCAACTCTTTCAATGACAATACTTCTTTAGAAACTATAACTCCAAGCAAAATTATATTTCCAAGTTTAAAGTAATTTATGAATGAAAAAAGGAGTTCTTAATTAAGAAATAAACTGATTCGCTGAGCGCAGCTGGATACACCCGCAGAGGTCCAACCCTGAACAGTTGGGGCAAAATTGGACACAATATTCAAGCTTGATACAGGTCTGAATTTGGATTGTAATTAAATATTTGACATATTATAGTTTCTGAATAAATGTAGTCAAAGAACTTGAAATCGGTTATATGAATTGAATTTATATTCAATTAAAGATTTCTTGCTGTTGTGCAATAAACTGTGCTGTTGCGCAGTACTTAACAAATCTGTTGCCAGACTATAAACAAATAAAGTTCAATTTCTTCTCAATGTCATATTTAAAATTTATGAAAATCTATAGGGAGATTACATCAATAGCTATAAATAATTCACCAAAGTTTCATGCGAACTGCTTAAAGCATTTTTGAGTTGTTGTCCAACAACAGTGCACACGCTGAAATGTCTCGCCTTCTTTACTAATCACTGATATTATGTTGATAGTCCTTAATATAAAGCTTTATTACAACTGTCCCATAAACTTAACATTAACCAAGAAAACTAAACATTGACCAATGAACCATGAAAATGAGGTCAAGGTCAGATGAACCATGCCAGGCAGGCATGAACAGCTAACAATTCTTCCATACAACAAATATAGTTGACCTATTACTTATAGTTTGAGAAAAACAGACCAAAACACAACTAGATACGCCCGCAGAGGTCCAACCCTGAACAGTTGGGGCAAAAATGGACACAATATTCAAGCTTGATTCAGGTCTGAATTTGGATTGTAATTAAATATTTGACATATTATAGGTTTCTGAATAAATGTAGTCAAAGATCTTGAAATTGGTTATATGAATTGAATATGCAATTAAAGATTTCTTGCTGTTGTGCAATACTTAGTAAACCTGTGGTCAAGAATATAAACAAATAAAGTTCAATTAATTCTCAATGTCATATTAGAAATTTATGAAAATAAAAAGGGAGCTTACAACAATAGATATAAACAATTCACCAAAGTTTCATGAGAATTGGTGACAGCATTTTTGAGTTATTGTTCGAAAACTGGAAAATCACCCCTTTTTTTAATGAATAAAACCCCACAACTCAGAAATGTAAAATGTAAAATTTATAAAATTCTAAAGGGAGCTTACATCAATACATACAAACAATTCACCAAAGTTTCATAAGAATTGCTGAAAGCATTTTAGAGTTTTTGTCAGAAAACTGGAAAATCCTCCCTTTTTTTATGAATAAAACCTTGTAACTCGGAAACGTAAAATCTAAAATTTATAAAAATCAAAAGGGAGCTCATGTCAATAGATATAAACAATTCACCACAATTTCTTACAAGTTGGTGAAAGCATTCTTGACTTATTGTCCGAAAACTGGAAAATCCCCCTTTATTTAATGAATAAAACCCCATAACTCGGAAACGTAAAATCTAAATTTAAAAAAAAATGAAAGGGAGCTCCTGTCAATAGATATAAACAATTCACCAAAGTTTTATGCAAATTAGTAAAAGCATTTTTGAGTTAATGTCCGACATCTTGACGACGGACGGACATACGGACAACGGTATACCATAATACGTCCTGTAAACGGGCGTATAAAAACTTAACAGAGCAATGAACTGTGAAAATGAGGTCAAGGTCAAATAAAACCTGCACGACTGACATAAAGATCATAAAATATTTCCATACACCAAATATAGTTGACCTATTGCATATAGTATTAGAAAAAAAGACCAAAACTCAAAATCTTAACTTTGACCACTGAACCATGAAAATGAGGTCAAGGACAAATGACACCTGCAAGCTAGACATGTACATCTTACAATCATTCCATACACCAAATATAGTAGACCTATTGCATACAGTATGAGAAAAACAGACCAAAACACAAAAACTTAACTTTAACCACTGAACCATGAAAATGAGGTCAAGGTCAGATGACACCTGCCAGTTGGACATGTACACCTTACAGTCCTTCCATACACCGAATATACTTGACCTATTGCTTATAGTATCTGAGATATGGACTTGACCACCAAAACTTAACCTTGTTCACTGATCCATGAAATGAGGTCGAGGTCAAGTAAAAACTGTCTGACGGGCATGAGGACCTTGCAAGGTACGCACATACCAAACATAGTTATCCTACTACTTATAATAAGAGAGAATTTAACATTACAAAAAATGTTAACTTTTTTTTCAAGTAGTCACTGAACCATGAAAATGAGGTCAAGGACATTGGACATGTGGCTGACGGAAACTTCGTAACATGAGGCATCCATATACAAAGTATGAAGCATCCAGGTCTTCCACCTTCTTAAATATAAAGCTTTTAAGAAGTTAGCTAACGCCGCCGCCGCCACATCACTATCCCTATGTCGAGCTTTCTGCGACAAAAGTCGCAGGCTCGACAAAAACTGGAAAATCCCAATAAAACCCCATAACTCAGAAATGTAAAATCTAAAATTTATAAAATTCTAAAGGGAGCTTACGGATTGATAATTTAGTCTTAGATGCAAGATTTTTTTATCAGTTGTTAGTGGCTTTGAACTAGCTGTCAGTAACTGCGAGTACTCTCAGATCTGTACTTAGTGTCTTTTTGTTGTTTGGATGTACAACTATCCGACCACGTCCACTTGTATTTGTATTTATCCATCTGATGAGTTAAGCCTCTTTCAACTGATTTTTATAGTTCGTTCTTATATTGTACTGTTACACAACTGTCCCAGGTTAGGGGGAAGGTTGGGATCCCGCTAACATGTTTAACCCCGACACACTCTGTATGTACATGTATGTGCCTGTCCCAAGTCAGGAGCCTGTAATTCAGTGGTTGTCGTTTGTTTATGTGTTGCATATTTGTTATATTCGTTCATTTTTTGTACATAAATTAGGCCGTTAGTTTTCTTGTTTGAATTGTTTTTCATTGTCATTTTGGGGCCTTTTCTAGCTGACTGTGCGGTATGGGCTTTGCTCATTGTTGAAGGCCATACTGTGACCTATAGCTGTTAATTTCTGTGTCATTTGGTCTCTTGTGGAGAGTTGTCTCATTGGCAATCATACCACATCTTTTTTATATTTACATTAACAGATATAAACAATTCACCAAAGTCAAGGTAAGACAACAAAACTTAGTGGTAAGATCTCTGAAATTTTTTACACGGTACAAGTTTTTCTCATTGTTGGAGATTGTACGGTGACAGTAACACCTGTAACTGCTTAAACCCATTTCTTATGCACTTTAGTTCAATAAACTCACTGAATATCATACCACATTTCCTTTTTTTATATGCATTACAATTTACATGTGCATGTAATTATAAATATATATATATCAGAACAAAATGCATTGCGTCACTTTTATTTCTGCATCCTTTGGCACAATACAAGTTCTAAAATTACACAACATAAAACAACTAAATGTTATTTCAGATGAAAGTTTTGTTTCAGTTAAGTTAACGTTCCATTCATAGGATTTGTTAGAATTTTTTATGTTTTGCCAAGTCCAATAATTTGCTCTATGTGCACATGTTACAATGTAATTGGAGACTTTTCTATCCCGTATAAGAGTTTTGGAACTAATTCTGTTTCTTTTTTTGAAAAAGTTAGCAAACAAATCTTGCACATTTAAACCTTTGTCTGCCATCACACTGTCACCTGGATGGCTGGATCACATAATTGAACTACATTTTGTATTCTACATCTTTCAACTATTTCATAGTCACTGGTAGAACCAACATATGCATTAGAGACATAGTTGACTAAACCACCAGGCGTCGAACATACAAGTATTTTCAGTGTTTCTGTTTTTATATGATGAAAAGGTTGCCTGAGCTCTAGGAGCTTTAGGTTTTATCACAGGATATTCTGTGCTGTCAATAATAATCCAAGTCGTAGGAAACTTTAATTTGAAGTTGGATGGCGAAAAATGCCTGACTAAACCACTAGATGGCCAAGTGTTAGCCTCACACCACTGTTTAGGCATAAAAACAATCCATGTATACACAATATTCTTAACACTAGATTCAATCTAGAATCTAGAAAGTTCAAAGTTGGTTGTATAATGCCTCAATTTCATCAAAGTCATAAAAAAACTGATTTTCAACTGACACCCTATCAATTTGAAAATATATGTATCTCAAACAATGTGCTGTTGGACCAAGTGTGGTCAAAAATAAAAATTTAGTATACAACTCTAAACCGGTATAAAAATGCATGGCTGTGTCACGTGTCTTCATTTCAAAATTCTCTGCTGAAAACATAGACATTGATGGTGTTTGCGTAATTCCATCTTTGAAGCTCAACATTAGCTCGGCAGTTGGTGGTGGACAGTCATAAATCCTTTCTGCAGTATGAATGATTTCTTCAGGAAAACCAACTTTACAATCAAAACTTTCCTCTAGATTTCTACTACAATATTCATCAAGTTTAGTTCTTTTGTTTTCACAGGAAAATGCCCTGATTTTTCTTTTTGCGGACGATTCAGTCTCTTGCTTGGTCCAGGAAAATAGGCTGGGAATGGCAGTAGACTTAAGTCTCTGTATGGTGGGTTTGCGCCCTGAAAAAGGTTATAAAACATTAGTTTTTTGATAATTAAATGAACTTCCATTAGCAATGTATACTTTGTATTACCTGGCGAAATATTAACTAGATTTATTCATTACAATCTGGATAAAACTATGTTTGCCTTATTCAATCTATGTTATGTAAATCCAAAGGACAAACAATGAGAGACCTATGCAACAAACGTACATTGTTTGTACCTAAATAACTATAATATAGATGAGAGCATGTCATTGTTTTGTTCCTGTTAACATTGTCATTGATATTTTTCAAGAAAGTCTATGAGGCATAGCTTATGCATTCCTGTCATTACTACATTAGCATAATTACTGCTAAAATAATTCTCAGTATGATATACCTCTTGTAAGAAATCATTATAATTGTAGCAATCACCAAAAAATCTCAAACAGATCACATTGAATCGTAATCCAAAAAATTATGACGTCTTGAATTAACCACCCCCTTTTATTCTAAAACGATAATTGCGGTTGTAAACAGACTTTGGTTTATTCGCATGGCGATTACATATATAACTATATATTTCAAAAAGAAAATAAGAGTTTTACCATGAATAGTTTCCTGCACGTAGTCTTTGTCAGTAAAATGTGCCTTGCAAACAACAGCTGATTGAGATGGACTCCACGATTTCATCGTGTTCTCGTCCAATCTGCGTATGGGCCATGGCGTTGATCCAACTTTTCTTTCTTTTTAAGTCATTTGGAAATGCATGTCCTCCTCTTAAATGACATCCAGGTACACAACAACAAGTACTTGGCATCGTTAATTAAAAATGTAACTGAAATAGTTGCACAGTGCAGAAACCGGAAGTTGAGGAACAGGATCGGCTACCACGGCGCCACCTATTCAGGAACGATAATTTGCTATTAATATAACTGCGAAATAACAATAACGTTAGACGGGTTCACGTGCATAAACAGAAATGCGCTTTAAATTGTATAATATAATTAATGTTCAGTCGACTCTTAATTATTATATCAACGACTGAAATGATTTATAAACATCTATATTGCAGATAACACTCGAAATTAACCCGAGCTCTTTCCACACGGAATTCAAATAATTCTAGTTTGTCAATCGGTTGACTGCTTATAATGCAAAATTCAAATATATCAAAAGTTTTTAAAACTAACAAAACACAATGATCGTTTCTCTATTTCCCAATGTAAATGAAATGAAATAAAACACATTTTATATCACAATAAGAAGAGGAGAGAATTCAACATTTCCGGATCTACTTGGAGCCTAATGACCCCCCACGTAGATAAGTTGGATATCGCGGAAGGAAGGATTAACCCGGCAACCAGAAAGGCATTAAAGCACTGCCTTTAAAAACTAAAAACTTAATTAACAAATTCATTCAAACTACTCTTAGTGAAGGAAAGATTGTAAGGATCATCACACTGATCCCAATGTGTGACCGTACAAATTCCGTTACATATTTGAAGCCAGGAAAACGAATTATGAAATCTATTCCTGAGTAGAGTAGCCGAAATTAGAATCAAAACAGAATGATTTCATAAAAGCAGATTGGGTAAGTATCTTGAGTTTACTTTCAATAGCTATGAGCATTATTTGATATAGGTCTTTTGCGTGTTCCTATGTTTTGTTGTCTATTAAAATGATATTATATTATATTTGCAGGACTGTTCTGTACTGTAAGTTATTCTGAATACCTTTTTCTTATTCGACTGCTCTAGTTTAAAAGGAAATGGGTTGAGTGTTAACAAAAAATATTTCAACTCCACCACAAGCCCATGCGCCTGTCATGAACCTCGTAAGTGGTCGTATTTCATCATACCTTTATGTTTGTGACCTTTAGGAAGGAAGTTTGATGTTGTGGGCCGATCTTTGATAGTCCCTGTTAAATCTATTTACAACTGTTTAGACTTTGGGACGATTCATTTTTTGATATATTTATAGAAACTTGTCCATTGTTGAAAACCATATGTTTTACCGTTTTTTCTAAATTTTTTAAATTTTTTATGTCATTGTTTTGATGTCTAATTCAAGTGAACCGTCTTCTCATTTTGTTCTTTTTCGATTTGATTTTACTTTAATTATTTACAGAGCCATCACATCAGCCGTTACTGTAGTAGGCGTGGCATATCCAATATGGTCATAATAAAAGACCTTCCATAACATGTATGACTTGTGAATTCTTACCCTGTTAACAACAGGAGCTGTCTTACCTTCAGCTGAATGCCACATAGACATCGAAAGTATGAGACTTGCCCCTAATCCCTACAAACATGTCGACCCACATTATATATCTAGTATATTACATAATTTATATGTATGATTGAACTGGCTAAGTTATCAATGTCATGGCATTTCTAAAATTAAATCGAATCGATTCAGATAGTTTAACATTATACATATAATTTTCAATGGTTCGGAAAATAGAAGGATGATTAGAAAAAAAAACTTAGTTTTACTGTAATGTATCAGGCGGAAACCCAGTTGAAATAGAACAAAAGAATCGAAGCTCTTTGTTAGAGAAGGCGATACATGCTTACTGTAATGTTTACTATAGTAACAAAAATTTTAAAAGTTAATAGAAACAAATAAAATGACAGTTTTCGGCTAAATTACGAAGTATTTTATCATAAAAACACCATTTGCATAAGTTTTCAATTTATCTATTACATAATTAAGTAGAACAATTATATATCAAGTCGACGACATGGGTGTCTATTCAGTTGGATCTAAAAAATGCATAACCTCCGATTTAGAGTGCACCTTTTTATGTTAGGGCGTGTTTGAGTTGAATATTTCGTCTTGAAAACGTAAAAAGCAAAAGTATTTGATACATCATCTCGCTTCAGATTCTATCATTTTTATATATCAAGGCTACAGGTTGACTTTATAACATCAAAAATTCACAGTACTAAAAAAATGAAATATATGGGTCTATGGGTCGAGTGAAATACCTTTCTAATGAATCACAGAAACAGAATAGGTGTGTTCGAATAGCAAATTTTTACTAAAAATACTTGACGACAGACTTTTAAGTTGGATCTTAAAAATGCATATCTTCGAAAAAACTTCATTTTTTGAGTGTCATATCTAGGGTTTATAGTCTTCAACCACTGAAAATTTTTAGTCTGCCCTTCCACGAAATATTGAATTAGAATTTTTTTAAATGTCTATGAATTTTCGAAAATTCCACCTGACAACCGATCAGACAATAGTTTTAAGTTGACTGAATGTAGACAAGTACATCAACTGATGTTCATTAGCTAGTAGATATATTTGTCTTTTAAAATACAGCTGGCATATAAGGATCGTAATGGTGCTATGTGGATAAATTTATCGGTTTTCAAGAGCTAAATTGGCAGCGCGTCATCCCTACAATGGCTTCCATTTTTACGATTGTAAAAATGAACTGGCGTAATGGGGAGATAATTTTCACAAAGTAGAATCCTGACTGGTATCAACTCCTGAGAGTTACTACAAGGATCGTTATTATAAATAGCTCCAACTCTTTAGTTTTTTTGCGTCCAGGCATTGCGGTAATATAAACTTTTGAGTAGGACTCAGAAATCCACCAAATAAAAATATTGAATTCGGTGTTTCCAGCACAAATTGTGTACTCCGAGTACTGAGCTAAGTTTTATGAACAAAAGATACAATCTTTTCCGAACACTGAAGAATGAATTGACATAAATTAACAATCTCCTTAGATTCCATTGTCTTAAAGTACACACTGCCTTTTCTCGGAATGGATTTATTAAGAGAATACTACCCAAATTGGAATGGGAAAAAATCAAGAATCTACAGTATGGGAACATTATTCTACAATTAAAAGTTATTATTAATTTCATGCTTTCGATTTTGTGCAAATGAATAATAAAGATTTATTAAGGCGAAAATAAAATATGAC